CCAAATTCTCAAAGCTCCAATCTGAATTTAAAATTAGCATGCACAGCATAAACTGAAATGTTTCAATGATGTGTGCTACATTCTCTAGGTACAGAAAGAGGAATAATGTATTGTGGCAAGAATAGCTGCTGCCAGATAAGGTTATTATAATATTTCAAAAAGTCTGGAATGTGACACACTGCCAACTAGGCTTTTATAAGAGAAAACAAGCAACTGATTTTAAAGTGATATTTACTTTTTATCAACACATTTGAGTAAAAATATTAGTGTGAATTCTCTCCTCCTCTCCCCATAAACACACTTTCCTAAGAGCTCATATTAAGTAGCAAAGAACTCCACCTATTTAGGGAAATAGATTGAAAAACTGAGATACCTCATATTGTTTCAAAGATAAAAATATGAAATCTGATTGTCCTGATATTTTTGCTTAAAAGTATTTTTATCATGATAATATCTTCAGTAACATGAAGGTTTATGATCAGCAAAGATAATACTACCATTTTACTTATATTATTTTATGTATCTAGATTACAAATTAATGTCATCTGATGTATAAAAGGAGCTTTGAAAACATCCTGCCTTGTGTATGCTTTTTCTTAGTTTATATAATTTCAAGTTATAAATTTATAAAATTATTATTAAAATAGCTAAATACAGTTCTCATTCTTGTTGAGTAGTTGCATACCAGAGTTCTTTGATTTTAGTTTTACTATTGACATTTAATTGAATTCCAATGACATCAAAACTAACTTGGTAGTCTCACAGTACTTTTCTGTAGTATATTTACTGATTATTTAACAATAATTGCAACAATTGCAAATGGTTTAAAAAACCATTTTGCTGATATGCAAAAAATTGAGTTAGGAACTTTTAAATTAAAAGTACTGAGAAGGGACTACTAACACAAAATAATTATACGAATATTTGGAGAGAAAATGCACGATAAAATATAAAATGCTTAAGAAAAAAACCTGCAATTTGCATTTAAAAAAAATAGTTTGAAACCCTGAACTATGTTACTAACATGTAGGGCACAATAATAATGGTGACAGTCATGTAATCATACCCTGGGAGTGTTGTAAGTTCTTACTATAAGCCTGCCTGCTGGAAATATTTTGCACAAAGGAAGAGACACAGCTCCAGGAGGAACAATAAAGATGATTAATCTGGCAGACAAACTACTGAGTGGTAGGTTTCAACAGCTTCATGTGACTCTAAAATTGCCTTGTTGATTTAAGACAGTAACTATCTGCTTAGCACTCTTCCTTTACCAAGAAAGGATAACAGTTAATACACCACAAACAGAATCAATATTAAAGAATTGTTTAATATACAGAAAGTAATACAAATTATCACTGCTTGAAGTGCCATATGAGGCCACCACCAACAACCACAGCTGGATTATATATTTCCTCAACCAAATGATAAATGATTTCAGGGCAGCGTGTGAGGATATCCAGAATTTTAAATACCAAATATTTTAAAACAAAATGTAGCATGAGACAGAAACAGCAAACATAATTATACTATCTTGTGGTGAAAACAAATGGATCTCCATTTTCAGAGATCTACCAATTGGTTTATATATGATATTATACCCTTCTGACACTTAGGGTACTCCTCTTCTAAGGTCAGGCAGGCCTCCTGAAACGAAGTTACTAAAACAAAGACAAAGCAGGGAAATTCAGCCTTTTCTTTTGCCTGAGAAGGTTTGTTAAACCACATAAACTGGTGACTGTTATGGCAGATTTTGCCATCTTGATTAAGTGTCTTAAAACCTACACCACTTATCGCTTGGTAATGTGATCCTTGTGTTCAGAAGAAGGATTGCTAAGCTGTAAATCATTGCCACCAGTTCTCAGACAGGAGCACAGGACAAGTGAGTTGCACAGAACCAGAGTATGTGAGACATCATTCTGCTTTGCTGTATGCTGTTGTGTCCTTGCAGAGCAGTAAGACAGATTACTTCTCCACCCTCTTAGACAGTAATCAACTTACATTTGCCCTTTTTTAAAATTAATAGAATTGGAATAAATACGTAGACCTACCTTTGTTATTCCCCATTATCATCCTCTACTAGTTTTCATGAAACACATTTTTTCAGAAAACGAGGAGGCAAACCAGGTGTTAGATTATTTATGTTTGACAAATTCATATCATTTAAATAATTAAAACTAATTTGTGTTGAGAGCTACAGTTGCATTTTTATTAGAGAAACAAGTACAAATAGGCATCACTACAGAGCTGTTTATTCAATAATGAGATTAAATGAAATGGATTTTGTAGTCTCAATACTTTGATTAATGTGGCAATTGGAACTTCTGTGCCCTAACAATGTGGAAACAGCTGCTCACCCACTATAAATCTGTGAAACTTTTTTTTCTTTAAAGCTACACATTTTAAATTATCCCTAAAAATATACTGTAAGCAAAATATTGAATGTTTTCAGTTTAAACAATATTTACATTATAAGCCTGAAATTATACTACTTTTTAATTTA